TTTCCTTTAATTCTGATTAAGTAGTATTAATAGGAGTGGATAGTACTTGTAAGGCATAATTTGAATGTGATAGCTCAATATAATTTTCATTTCCCCTTTCATTCTCTCTCAATTTCTCCCCTGTTCTTCATCCTTCTCTTCATTCTTCTTCTTTCTTCTTCTTATCTGCATTTCACACCCTTGATACCTTCATTTTGGTATCAATTGGTATCAGAGCCAGGTTAATCTTAAGCTATGGGACCACGAAAAAATACTGAAACCATTCCTGAAGCAGCTGAATACAATGTCCAGGAGCAATTTGAGGATTTGGCAGCTCAACAGTTGGATCTACGTTCTGTTATGGATGAGCGACATCAGGAATTGAGGTTGGACATGGATCGTAGACAAGTAGAGCTGATGCGATTAGTCCAATCACTGAAGGACTCTGTTGATGGGATGCGACTGCACCAGCAAGCCAAGGAGAGAGGTGCGGCTTCGAGTTCAAGTGAACCACTACCAACTGTTGGTCATGGAATTTTGGGCCCCAATCCATTTCATGCTGGTAACCATCGTAATCACAATTTACTTTTTCCTCGTTTCAATGGAGAAAATCTGAAAACATGGTTGTATCGGATAGATCAGTATTTTGCTGTAGATGAAACTCCAGTAAATCATAGGTTAAGGCTGGTAGCCATGAACTTGGAAGATGAGGCTTTAGCTTGGCATCAAGCTTTATTGCAGTGTAGAGATCCACCTAATGTAATTGGGTGGGATGAGTACTTAAGGGCAATAACTGAAACTTTTGGGGATGATTTTGCTGATCCTATGCTTGAACTTAAGCAACTAAGACAAACTGGAACAGTAAGGGAATTCCAATTTGCATTTAGTAGGCTTTTAACACAGTGTAATCTCACTACTGCCCAAGCCATTTCCTGTTTCTTAGGTAGATTAAAGGATGAGTTGGTCGGGACTATACTGATGCATGAACCACAAACCTTGTCTAAGGTGTTTAGGTTGGCTAGATTAACTGAAGCTACTCAGCTAGCTAATGCTAGATCTCAAAATAGAGCATCGGGACTACAAGGAGGAGTTGTTAAGAGGCAACATCAGGAGACCATTGTTACAAGGTCACAACCTATCAATTATAATCAGGGGACTCGATTGACTTTGCCATCTTCTACCGGAGGCAGACCTAGGAGAACTATATCCCCAGCTGAAATGCAGGCAAAAAGGGCTCAGGGGTTGTGTTATTTTTGCGATGAGAAGTACAGCATTGGTCATAAATGTAATCTTCCTAAACAATTATTTGTTTTAGAGATGGACAGTATAGAGTTAGAAGATCTAGAACCTGAACTGGAATCTCCAGTTACTGATAACACGTATGGGGAAGGTGAAACCATAGTCGATGGTGCTAATCCTTTGATTTCATTGTGTGCCCTTGCTGGAATTCAGGGTGCTCAAACTATTCATGTGAAGGGATATAGTGGTAAGAGACCAGTTCAGATATTACTTGATGGAGGTAGTACACACAATTTTATTGATAAAGATTGTGTGAAAAGGTTGGGATGCACTGTTGTTCCTACTCCCACGAGCTATGTGAGTCTTGGCAACAATGCTAAGGAGACCACAACTGGAGTAGTTAAGGACTTTGGGTGGATGCTGCAGGGCATTACTTATCAGTCGGATTTAATAGTGTTCCCTATTGGTCGATATGATATTGTTCTGGGAGCATTGTGGATGAAGACATTGGGTCCAGTGACCATGGACTTTACAGAACTTACTATGTCCTTCAATCACCAAGGAAAGAAACATGTACTTAAGGGGGTGCATGAAGATTGTAGGCTGGCTAGTTCCAAAGCTGTGAACAAGTTATCAGGAGATGAGGTTGAATTATTCATGTTACAAATGTTGCCAGTTATGAATGGGGAAATCGTTGTGGGACAGAACTTTGC